TTCCTTCCTTCCTTCCTTCCTTCCTTCCTTCCTTCCTTCTTTCTTTCCTTCTTTCTGTCTGTCTGTCTCTCGGTCTGTCCATTGACGTGTTCTATAACCTCGCTGGGTTTGGGAAACCAGCCTCCCGCGTCCTGCGTGGGGTTTTCCCCCCGCAGCCTCCAGCTGTTTCTCTCCCCGCCTGGGAAGGGCTCCGGAGGGGGAGCATCTCGCTCCCAAGACGACCCTTCTCCAACCGCCCGTCCAGCCCCGTGGTCTCTGAAGCCCGGCCCCGCGTCTGCCGGGGCTTTACCCACCCGCGGGCGGAGGTGGGGCCGTCCAGCGCCTTCCCCCGGCTCAACCCAGAGGCCGGACCGCAGCGCGATTTAAACCCCCCGAAGGCACCGTCCTGGCAGCGGCGGGACGATGCAGCTGGACTTCGCGGGCCCCCCGCGGCCGGCCCTGTCCCGCGTGGGCGAAGCGAGCGGGCCTCCATCCGCGGGAGCCCCAGCCTACGGCTTGGAATCCTGCGTGGGCTCCAAGCCCCCCTACAGCTACATCGCGCTGATCGCCATGGCCATCCAGGGCAGCCCGGAGCAGCGGCTCACCTTGAGTGGCATCTACCGCTTCATCACCTCCCGCTTCGCCTACTACCGAGACAATAAGCAAGGCTGGCAGAATTCCATCCGCCACAACCTCTCGCTCAACGACTGCTTCGTCAAAGTGTCCCGGGACGACCAGAAACCGGGCAAGGGGAGTTTTTGGACCCTGGACCCCGAGTGCCACGACATGTTCCAGAACGGCTCCTTCCTACGGCGGCGGCAGCGTTTCACCCGCAAGAGGCGTCCCTCCAGAGCCCCGGGGGGCGGCCCAGGGGCCAAGAAGGGGCCCCGGGGTGGCAGGGGCCAGCCGACTGGCACGGGGATGCCAGGGGAGGCGATCAAGAGGGAAGATGGCACACCGAGAGCAGATGCCACCGGGCAGGGCCAAAGTTCCAGCCAGGCAGTGCCAGGGGCTCAGGGGGCCTTGCCCGTGAATCTATTTACGGGCGGGCAGGAGGGTGAGGATCCAGCTCTGCGTTGCCCAGAGGCCCACAGCCCTTGTGCCAAGCTCAACCCCTCCAAGACGGCGGCGTGTTTCCATCTGGGCCCCAAAGCTGGCCTCTACAGCCAGCCATCGGGATTCTGCTCCCCGGGAAGTAATTACCAGGTGAAAGGGGCCCTTCTGGATGACCTCGAGGTTGCCCCCCTGGCGGAGAGGCTGCCCTCCCTATCCAGCCCGGAGATCAATGGAAGCCTGCGGAATGGCCCCCGCTCTTCGCAGGGGAAGCCCCAGCAGGAAGGCAAGGGGGCAGCACCCCAAGCGTTTGGCCAGCTGGCACCTCACTTCCCGGCTCTTTTGGGGAACGGCAAAGCGGCCCAGCCCGGCCACCGGGCATATCCATCGCCCACCATCAACAGCCAGGAAGGTTACACCAAAGCTTCGGTCTTGCCCGTCTTCGGTTATTCCAACCCGGAGTCTCGAGGTGGGGGCTACCAATGCCGCCTGCAGGCCTTGAATCTCTGTGGCAATGAGCCCCCTTGGGACCACCTTCTGACCTCCTCGGCTGCCGCTGGCAATCCCGCGGCTGCCCTCCAGCCCCCGTCCTTCGTCCAGCTGCCAGGGGAGCAGGAAACCTGGCCGGGGACCCCCTTTTCCCTGCAGGGGGGCAGCAACTATCCGCTGGGCCTGCCCCACTGCCTCTACAGGACTTCCAGCATGTTCCTTTTCGAGTGACGGGGAGGAACTAGGGGTCCCTCATGCCCCCATCAAGGCCCTGGAGAGGTAGGAGCTGGATGCCCGTCTGAATTCTGGCAAGGGGGCAGTGGGGGGCTGGGTGAGAGTGAAGTCTTCTCCCCCCCACCCGGAGGGGGGGCTCCGTGGACTTTCGCAGAGGGACAAAGCCACCTACGGCTGAATCCTGGTTTCCAGCTTTAAACCCAGCGTTGCAAGCTTGCAAGGTGGATAACGAGAGGAGGGGGGTGGGCAGGGAAGGAGGGGGGCATTCGAACCCTTCATATGCCAGCCTTCAGCAAGACAAAGCAAAAAAAAAACTGCCAAGGAAAAAAGCTGCCAGCAAACATTAAATGCCAGCCAGGAAAAATAATAAAAATAAATGGAATTTTGGCCTTTCGGGTTATTTTTTTTATTTTTTAATCCCAGGGTTGTGGGGAAGGGGGCATTCTGCATACGGTCAGAGGCCGTTGTATGTATTTTGTGGCCTTGTGTTTATTTTGGGGCTGGCTGTTTTGGGAGGGATGAGATCATGGGAATGGGGGTGACAATCCTCCCCAGAGATTGGGGGGTTGGAGGAGGCTGAAAGGCCTGGCCAACTTTTGGAGCGGTTCTTTTTCTCATGCTTTACTACAAGCCTTAAATCCAAGGAGGAAGGAACGCTTTGCCCGTTGGAGTCGATGGGAGCAGGAATCTAAATTTCCCCTGCTCCTCGACTTACGACTGAAATTGCGTCCGGGATTTCCACCGCTAAGCAAGATGGTCGTTCAGTGAGGGTTACTAACTTATCCACCGCGGAGACTCGCTTAACAACGGTGGCCAGAAAGGTCGAGTCCTGCTCGGCTTTACAACCTGCGGTGAAGCGAAATCACTGCAGCTGTTAAGTGAATTACGTGGTCATTAAGCGAATCTTCATGGCCGCACATGGGGAACATATAGCGACGGGATGTTGCAGCCATCGTAAATGCATGCCAATGGCAAAGGGCTCAAAATTTGATCATGTGACTGTTGGGGGGGATACTGAATATGGTCGTAAGTGTGAGGACTGGTACTTAATCGTTTTTTTCACTTCTGTTCTGACTTCAAACAGTTGTAACTTGAGGACTAAGGCTGAAATAACCCAAGTCCTCAGTTTACAGTGCAAATTTTGGTGGTTTTTGCACACACACAAACTCTTACACCAATGAGTAAAAGTACTACAGGCAGTCCTCGACTTCCAACAGTTCATTTAGTCAAAGTTACGGCAGCACTAAAAAACCTGACTTATGACCACTTTTCACAGTTACGACCTTTGCCACATCCCCATGATCAGCTGTTCAAAATTCAAGCGCTTGCCAGCTGATTCATATTTACGACGGTTGCGGTGTCCTGGGGGGGGGTGTCACGTGATCCCTTTTGCGACCTCCTGACCAGCCGAGTCGACGGAGAAGGCAGATTTACATAATCACTGTGTTATTTTACTTCAACCGCAGTGATTCACTTAACGACGAGAAAAGTCATAAAACGGGGCAAAGTTCCACAACGGTCTCACTTCGTGGCAGGAATTTGGGGCTCAGTTGTAGTCGTAAGGTGAGGACTATCTCTATTTGACTTCACTCTTTTAAAGGGCCGGAAGCGGAGAATCATCCAGAATTATCATTCGTTTTTCTTTTAATTTTGGAAATCCTGGCTCAGCACAGCCAAATTCTTCTCTTTTGCACCCGTTTCCCACCCGCCAAAATCTTCTCGCCTGAGACGGTTGTAAGGCCTGAAAGTTAATTTGCTTTAAAAAAAAAAAAGAATCTTCCCTGTCCATTTATTCCAAAAGAAAGTGGTTTTTAAATCTAAGTTTCTCTCTTTTTTTAAATCTTTAAAATAAGATGGTGTTTTCTTTCTTTCTGTTTTTATTTTGTTTATACAAACATAACATCTCTGCAACACTTTATACTTCCTTACACATCCCTTGCGTTTCCTTTGTCTGTAAATGTAAATCATATATATGTGTGTGTGTGTGTTGTATTTGTGCTGATAAATAAATAAAGGGAGACTAGTATAGATCTATTTCAAGCTATTTAGCTCTCATCAGCTAGCCATACCCTTACTGGGATTAGAACCTGTGCTGTATTGCATCTTAGGCAGATGTGTTAACCACTAAGCCACAGGGTTCTTCTCCTTATCAGCTGAGCCAGGGAGAAAGGTATATATTTAAAGTCACACACACACACACACACACACNCCTTTATTAGGAGCGCCAGGACCCCCAGCAAAAAGTTTCTCTCTCACCACAGGTTAACAAGTCCATCAGGCTGGGAGAGGAATCGTTGTCTGCCACATCTATTCATCTCTACCCCCTGCTTTTTATCTCCAGAGCTAGGGTGGGGCTTCGCTAGCAGCAGTGGCTCTTCCGTCCCAAGGATCTGCCCATAGATTTCCACTACTCTCCTCTCCTCTGCCTTCTGTACATCAGGCACTGGACCCAGCTGTTCCTCCTCTTCCTCATCAGCCACCTCCAAACCTGGGAGCTCTGAGGGCTGAACACTGCCCAGACTCCGCCTCTCTCTCTCTCTCTTTCTCTCTCTCTCACTCTCTCAGCTCCATTCCCTCTTCCCCATCTATTGCCTTGATGCTGACCGACTCCCATGTCTCCTCCTCGGATTCTCTGTTGGAGGGGCTGTGCAGATGCGCAGAAGGCAGAGGAGAGGGGAGAAGTAGAAATCTGTGGGTCAATCCTTGGGAAGGAAGAGCCACCGCTGCTAGCGAAGCCCCACCCTAGCTCTGGAGATAAAAAGCAGGGGGTAGAGATGAATAGATGTGGCAGACAACGATTCATCTCCCAGCCTGATGGACTTGTTAACCTGTGGTGAGAGAGAAACTTTTTGCCAGGGCTGCTGGCACTCCTAATAAAGGAATTTTTGAGTTAACTTCAGAGGGTTTGTTGTGTTTTGGGAGCAGTTAGGTGTGTATTTCTCTTAGCTGTTACGGAAGGAAAAAGGTTAGAAAAAGACAAAGCTGAATGAATGAAGATGTACTTCATATTTATTTCAAATCCTTGGAAAATACACAGGTGCTACTTGTTGAGATGAACCTTCAACGTTACATCCTCCCTTGAAGAACAGGGTGGAGAGGGAGGGAGGTGAGGCACAGTAAACTGCGTACCCCCTTGCGTGAAATTAAGAGCCGCCTTTCAGCAGCCAGATGGAAGCATGGGCATAACTGCACTGTCTCCTGGGGTGCTGCATCTTGCGAGCCACGAACACCGTCCGGCTTCTCTGGCTGATACCCAGAAGTTCATCACAGCCACATCTGCTGTTGCTGCAGGTTCTTGGCAGCCAAGGTCCAACGCTCCAGCCACTGTTGCAAAGTGAAGCCGTAGCGGCGCTCGTGAGGAAGAACAAACTGTCCTGGCTGCTCCCACCTAGACAGAGACGGAACGTAAAAGATGTACAAACGTGGCACACCTCCTTGTCAAGAGTGCGGACAAGCTTTACTACACGAGACAACCCAGGAATAGTAACAGCAAACAGAGGTTTGTAATAAGTAGTGGTTTTATCTACAAAAAGTATATATACTGTACATACACGTAGTATAGGCAGAAGTCAAACAAACAGCAACTATAGCAGGGAAAAACACACGGAGAGAGAGAGAGAGAGAGAGAGACAGAGAGAGAGACAGAGAGAGAGAGACAGAGAGAGAGACAGAGAG